TAAATGTGTCAGACAGCTGTGCACATATAACCTGAGCCTGTGAGCACAAAGACTGCGCAACTTAAAAACAAGCTTACAGTCAACACCCCGCCCCCCTCCCCCCAAAAAACAGATTAAACTTTAATGTTACAACAAATGGGAGAAAAATAACCTTAGTAAATGAAAGTACTAAAATGTCAGAAATGATGCACAATTCAGTTAAAATAATATAATAAATCCTCATTCATTTAATTTATTTAGTTTTCAACACTTCCACTTGATTTTTTTTCAAACACTTGAATCAACTCCACAGTAAAGTCTTTACTTCTATTGTAAAAGAGAAAACTGGTGCGTTTCAGGAAGACTGAGTTCCCTTTGAAAGGCTTAAACAAAACACAGAGACCCAAGCAAATGATGTGCAAAACAAACAAACCTATTGTTGTTTTGTGAGAGTGAGATCATTTCCAGGACTAGGCATGAGATACTACAAAACCATTATTTCATTTGTTTTACAACGCTAAACACTGCTTTACACTTTAGATAAAAGAAAGAAGAGTACTGCATATGCTACATTACACCTCCATCAGCAAAATATTAGACAGCAGTACAGCAATCTATAGCAATGGCCAGGACAAGTAAAAGCTTTGTACAACAGATGACCTTGATATGTGACCTTAAGCTGAGGTGATAAAAAAAAATGTATATGACATCCCTTCTGGTGATGATGCATGTGTATGAACTGAAAATTGTTGGATTGTATACCTGGATTATTGAGCATGGACTTTTTTTTTTTGGTTTTGAACCAGTTTGACATGACTGTCGACGAGGAAGAGAGCCGGCACAAGAGGAGGGGCGTGCCAAAGACACCATCTTAGCACCAACATAACTGGTTTGTTCCACTTTGGAGTAAGCTGTTTGGGGGAAGAATCAGTTTTGTGTTGTGCATTTCCTTGACTGATGAAGCTTTCTGGATGGAAGGTGAAACGTTTCAGCAACAAAACAAAACCAAAAAAAAACTGTCCAGATGACCTTACTGAAAATTGTTGGAAATGTTTATGAAGTTTTGTTAAACTATCTTGAGCGGATCAGAAGGTATAGATGGGAGAGGAGAACGTGTACAGACAGACATGTATATGGACAGAGACTGTACCATGACCATATGTCCGCCACTGATGGGAAAATAAACAGCAAGACATTTTCTGAACAATAACCGTTTTCCAACGACAAACCAGAGCAATTTAGATGAATTCAGAATATTGTCAGTCTAGGTCTGTGCTGTTGGTGTTCCTCTGCACCAAATCCGATGTTGCAACGCTACATAAAGAAATAAAATATTTATTTAAAGATTCCAGTAATAATGTGATTTATTACACCTTGTAACCTTGTAAATATTGTAAATACAGTAGTCCCTCGCTACTTTGTGGTTCGTTTCTCGTGGACTTGCTCCAACGCGGCCTTTCAAAATAAGACTGGACATGACACAAAATTGGCTGATTGATGGATGAGCTGCACGATCTGAATTTTTATTTTAGCACCTGCTGCACCTTTGTGCAGCCCACAGCTTCAGAAAAAGCTTCCTCCTGCAACTCTGTGCAGCCCATACACCAGGATAAGCTTCCTGCAGCAGCTGATCAGCTGTTCTCTGCGCAGAGCGGAGAAGTGGGTGTGGCCAAGAACGTTTGCAGGTGGCTGAGAGCAGTGGAAGCAGAGAGCTGAAAGAAATCATGACGTTCTGTGCTCTTTCACAATATTTAGAGTTTACAAACATTGTTTAGACTATTGCAAGACAGCTGGGAATGGTTATATATATATATATATAAATAAGAATATCATGGAAATGTTGTTTAACTTCCATAATTCTACTCAAAAAGTTGATCTTTTCTAGATGATAGATTCAGGGCCCACAATTTAAATGATTTCAAGTATTTATTTGTTTATTTTTATATAATCTGGGCTTCCAGCTTGTGAAACCCACGAAAACAGGATTTCAAAAATTAGAATATTGTGAAGACATCAGCCCACACTACTCAATTTGTGTAGAAAAAAAAAATGAGATTAGGATCACAACAAATCAATCAAAATATGGTACTTTCAAAACGATATGTCAATCTTCAATACTTGGTTGGGAATCCCTTTGACCTAATCGCTGCCTTGATGTGACGTGGCATTGAGACAATCAGCCTGTGGCATTGACTGGGAGTTATGGAAGCCCAGATTTCCTTGATGCTGTCAGCTCTTCTTTGTTGTTGGGTCTGGTGCTCCTCATTTTCCTCTTGAGAATACTCCATAGATTCTCAATGGGGTTTAGGTCTGACAATTGGCTGGACAGTCAAGCACTCTGGTATGGAAATCAAACCAGGCTTTGGTGTTTCTGGTGGCATGGGCAGGGGTCAGGTCCTGATGGAAGATGAAATCTGAATCTCCATACAGATCCTCGGCGGAAATAATCATGAAGTCCTCGAAAACATTCTGGTAGACTGTTGTGGTGGTGACCTTGGATTTAAGAAAGAAGAGTTTACCAACACCTGCACCGGACATTGTACCCCAAATCATGACTGACTGTGGTTATTTCACACTTGACCTCAAGCAGTATGGGCTCTGTTCCTCACCCTTCTTCCTCCAAACCCTTGGACCTTGATTTCCGAATGAAAGGCACACTTTTACTTTCATCGGAAAAGAGCACAGAGGAACCCAACAGTTGTAGCCCATTTCCCGGATGGGTCTGAATGTGGTGGTTTTTGAAGCTGTGTCTCCCGCTTCAGTCCACTCTTTCTGGATCTCTGCCAGATTCTGGAATCTTCTCTGTTTGATAATCCACTGAAGCCCACAGACATTTCTTGCTGGTGCATCTTCTCCTGCCACATTTTGCCCTTCCACTAAACTTTCCATTGATATGCTTGGACACAGCACTCTGTGAACAGCCAGCCTCCTTAGCTATGAACTTTTGTGGCTTACCCATCCTATGGAGGGTATCAATGATGGTCTTTTGGCCCGTTATGTCTGTAGTCTTCCCCATATTGAACCAAACTGAGATAATTGAACCAAACTGAAGCAATTTAATGACACCTGGGGAAATCTGTGCAGGTGCTTTGAGTCTAGTAGATGATCAGTGTGTCACACTCAGTTTAAAACATTCATGTCTTGCAAAATGTGGCTCGATGTCTCCACAGTATTCAAATTTTTTGAAATCCTGTTTTTGTGGGTTTCATGAGCTGGAAGCCCAAATTATGTAAAAATAAACAAATAAATACTTGAAATTGTTTAAATTGTGGGCCCTGAATCTATCATCTATTAAAAATGTACTTTTTGAATGAAATTATGGAAGTTAAACAACTTTTCCATGATATTCTAATTTTTTGGAAATGGTCTGTAAATATATAAGCAGCACGGTGGCGCAACTGGTAGAGCTGCTGCCTCTCAGCGAGAAGGTTTCCAGTTCAAATCCTGGTCCGGGGGCCTTTCTGGGTGGAGTTTGCATGTTCTCTCCGTGCATGTGTGGGTTTTCTCCGTGTACTCCAGTTTCCTCCCACAGACCAAAAACAAGCATGTTAGACTCATTGGTAAATCTAAATTGTCTCTAGGTGTGAGCGAGAGAGTGAATGGTTGTCTCGTTTGTCTCCATGTGTCCCTGTGATGGATTAGAGACCTGTCCAGGGTGTCCCCCGCCCCTCGCACAGTGTTTGCTGGACATCGGCATTATCGCAGGGCTTCAAGATACAGATCCCCTGCGATAAACCAGGGACTATTGTACTGTATATAGGGTGAAGAGAACAGGGAACAGGTAGAAGAGAACTCAGAGAGGTAGAGGTATGCACTTGATAGAAGGGGAATGAAAGTTAGCTGTATTAAGACAGAGTACGTGTGTGAATGAGAGGGAGGCCGTCAGGAGTGATTTGTGGCAAAATGGTGTCAGCAAAGGTCAAAGGAAAAGTTTACAAACAGTTATGAGACCAGCTGTTGTATGGTCTGGAGACAGTGTCATTGACAAAAAGACATGAGAAAGAACTGGAAGTGGTAGAAATGAAGATGTTGAGGGTCTCTTTAGGAGTGACAAGGATGATAAGATTAGGAATGAGATCAGCAGAGGTACAGCACAGGTTGAACAGCTGGGAGATAAAGTTAGAGAGACCAGACTGAGATGGTTTGGACATGTGCAGAGGAGGGACAGTGGGTATGTTGGTAGAAGGACATTAGAAATGCAGCTGCCAGGAAAAACACAAAGAGGAGCTATATGGAGGATTTGCTGTGAAGACCCCTGAAGAGGGAAAAGCTGAAAGAAGTAGAAGTAATTTAGTTTTAGAAGAAGTTAACTCTTCAAATTGTAATATTTTCTGCTGAAAACCAAACATTTTGTCTTAAGTTAGCTCGTATATCCAGGTCAGAACAAGCAAAACAATTTAGAAACTAGCAATTTTACCACAGGCACTTTAAAAAAATGATGACATTAATGAAAAAAAAAATTCTTAAAGATTAGGAAAAAACCTCCATATCTGACCACCAAGAGACTGGAGTAAATTAGATCAAAAATAAGGCCTCATTTTCAGCTACCAAATCTAAAGAGTCCCTATGGGCTGCAGGGTCTTCAAAAAACCTGGAAAGTTTTCTGAGATTAAAGTCAGAATTTAGAGGTAAAATCCTCTTTTGTCTTTGCTCTGTGGCCTTAATCCTCTATTCAATCTTCTATCTGTGATCAATTTCCCCCCTAAGGAACTGTAACTGTCATGATGTGACTGTAACGGCCAGGGGTTAAGAACAGGTGCGAATGATAAACAGAAGGTGAGGTAGACTGAGAAATATGGCCAATGACGAGGAGGAAACTAGCAGGAGACATACATAGCATAGGAAATTATCTAAAGGAAACAAACATAACAAAATGTAACAGATTTCAAGAGTAAGTCAACCAACAAAACCCTAAGAACACGACACCATAACATCTTCCATGGGAACCTCTCCCCACATTTATGAATCTTTTTGTTTCAGAGTAATGAAAACACAAACTCATGTGAAAGGATCAGTTTTACCGTCTGTATTTTCTTTGGATCCTTAATGGGTCCTTCCCGCAGAGGGACTTTCCCAAACAGCTTCCAGCCAGGTTCCCTGGGCTCCTCTGACCGATTGTCCTTCACCTTCTTAGAAAACAGACTCCTGAGGGAACACAGGAACAAATAAATGAAATTGGACTGCTAATTACACAAGAGCAGGAAGCAATCTTTGAGGCACAATGACAGCTAGTTACTAGAAAACAAAAAAACAGATTACAGTGATGGGAGTAAATTGAATTATTAGGCATCAATCAACTCATAAGAACCGTCTTTTAATGACACAGTATATGTGTGTGAATGAGAGTGAGGCTGGTGGAACAGTGAGGTTATAAAGAGCAGAGGTCACAAAGGTGCAGGACTTCAAGTACATGGGGTCCACTGTCCAGGAAAATGGGGAGTGTTGTAAAAAGGTGAAGAAGAGAGTCCACACCGGATGGAGGGGATGGAGAAAAGTTTCATGAGTGATTTGCAACAAAATGGTGTCAGCAAAGGTCAAAGGAAAAGTTTACAAGACAGGGGTGAGACCAGCTATGTTGTATGGTCTGGAGACAGAGACATGGACAAAAAGACGGGGGGGAAAGAACTGAAAGTGGCAGAAACGAAGATGTTGAGGTTCTCCTTAGGAGTGACAAGAATGGATAAGATTAGGAAAGGGATCATCAGAGGTACAGCACAGGTTGAACAACTGGGAGATAAAGTTAGGTCGTTTTCACACCAGATAGTCCGGTAGACTCGGTTCAGTTCGGGACCAATTTTCATGACCTTTTGTTTACATTTGAGCTGGTGCGTTTGCATTCACACTGCACTGTGCAGTCGAGTCAACCTGTTGAACCAACCTGTTCCCCCGCTCGCCTGTGGGGGCGCTGCACCAAGAACTACTGAAAGAAACGACACAAAAACCTCTGAAGACGCGTCTTCTTCTTCTTCTGGAAATAAAAATAAAAACGAAGTGGCATCAAGTTTTAGCAGTTTTAGGAGTTATATTTTGTCATTTTTCAAAAATGGACTTAGCATGAGCAGAAGATGAGACAGAAGACCATGGAGAATATTGTTTTTCACACAAGGCAGCTGACGGCTTAATATAAGGTCAGAGCAATGCGTGTTTGTTTACCCTGCGGAGCGGGCCCGGTCTGTTTACATTCACACTGTACTCGAACCGCGCTGGAGTTCGTTTCTACCGGACCGAGACCTAGGTTTTAGTCCGGGCCAGAGTTCGCCTTTTTGTTCCGTGACAGTTCGATGGTGCGTTCACACCTCCCTAAAAAAAAACGGACTTTCTAGGAAAACGAGCTAGAGTTCGATTAAAGCGGACTAAACAGGGCTGGTGTGAATGCACCCTTAGAGAGGCCAGACTGAGATGGTTTGGACATGTCCAGAGGAGGGACAGTAGTTTGGATACGTCTAGACAAGGGACAGTGGTTATATTGGTAGAAGGATGTTAGAAATGCAGCTGTCAGGAAAAAGACAGAGGGTTACATAAATATTAAAAATAGAATTTAGGGAAAGGAGGCCATGAGTTACACACTTTTGCTCAGTAGGTGGCGGTATGCACCTGAACGTTGTTTGCAATCTGCCAATAAACTAGAAGAAGAAGACAAAGAGGAGATATATGGATGCAGTTAGAGAGGACATGGAGGTAGTTGGAGTGAGGACAGAGTGAGATGGAGGAGGATGACTCACTGTGGAGACCCTGAAGAGGAAAAAGCCAAAAAAAAAATAATCAACTGATAAGAAGAAAACTAATGTTTGCCAAACTCAGTAAATAATTAAGATGTATTTTGTATTTACATTAGACTTCTCTGCAGTAACAAACCATCAACGTCACATGAGAATGAAAAACAATGTTTATCTTCCTTTATACATGGAATTTATATATTTATATATATATATATATACACATATACATATGGTGTTTTAAGCCCTTCCCACACTCTTGCGATATTCTTAACAATGCTTCTAAACTCTAAAAGCTCTAAAAGAGCACAGAATGTCATGAACTCAGCTCCCTGCCTCATCTGCTCTTTGCCACCTGCAAACATTCGTGGCCACATCCACTTCTCTGCTCTACATGAACAGCAATCAGATGCAGCAGGAAGCATAAACTACAGTAAGAGCTAAACAAAGGTGCAGGAGGAAGCTTTTTCTGCAGCTCTGGGCTGCACAAATGTGCAGCAGGTGCTAAATAATTTACAATAATTTATTTTAAATAAAATTCCATGCCAATTGTGAGGCTCATCCATCAATCGTGTGTCATGTCCAATCTTATTTTGCAAACCGTAACAGAGTGAGTCCGCAATAAACGAACCATGAAATAGCAAGGGACTACTGTACTGTACATTTCACTGAAAATCAATATATGAATTAAAAAATTAATTTTACATTTTGAGCAGAACATGCAAAATTGGTTATTGTTGGGATTTGCCAAAACATGTTAAAGAACTTCACTTTCTGTGTTTATGTCTAGTAGCACATTTTAATTATTTAACTATTGTACTTGTAATATAGATGTATACAGTAGTCCCTCACTACTTTGCAGTTCGACTTCTGCGGACTCAAAGTGGTTTGTGAACATATAGTCCATAATATTGTACACACAAAAAAAATTGTACAGGACATGTGATTGTCAACTTTAATATTCCTCAAGTGACTGGGATAGTACTGAATACAGTACTGTACATTAAAAGTTTTTTAAAAAAATACGTTGGACAGGCAGCGCCATTTTGTAGTTTTCTCTCAGTAATCCTCCACTGTATTCCCACTCATAATGACCACATTTCCCAGAAGGCACAAGGGCCCCGCCCAGAAGCCCCATTTCCTTCTGCTGAAAGAAGCAGAGGTAAAGTTTTGATCTGATCGGTGCCCAGCTGATGCTGAGAAGCTGCACTGAATCCACCGAACCAGAGCAGAACCGGAGCAGAACCAAACCTCCAGAACTATCTGTGAATCTTGAGAGCTGGTACCCGGCCCATGAAGTGCGGACATGTTCCGAAAGCTCCGGAGCCATTTCCGTAGCCCATCGGGGCTTTTTTCATCCAGACTTGACTCAAATCGACCATCTACGTTCCCACGCCGGTGTTACACCATATTCTGTGACCACCGTATATTGTGACCATAGAGGGCACTGTTGCATTTTTACACCATACTTAGCAATATCTGATAAACACCATCATATTCTGTGGCTATATTTTCAAAATATTTATGATATTAGTGGTCAGATGTTACTTTTTATTCTTTAGAGGAAGGAGAGAGTCAGCAGAAACAGTTTGATTCACCGAAGACCTTGGTTTGTTTGGCTTTTTCTTTCTTTTTCATTTTGTTTTTGTTCCCCCCGCCCTTCAAAACGCAAAGCATGGTGTAAAAATGCAATAGCGCCCCCCTACAGTCACAATATACCAGGGGTGTCAAAGTCAAATGGACGGAGGGCCAAATAAAAAAATTTAGCTACAAGCCGAGGGCCGGACTGATCGAATGTTCATTGAAATTTTTTTAAATGACGCATATAGTCTAGTGAACCTAATTGAACCTACTGAAAACCTAACAAATATATTCCAATATGATCAGATAAATAAAGCAATATTTTCTTATGGCTCTGTCAGTAATCTTTAATTTTCAACAGACACAAAAGACAAATTTCCTTTATATAAAAATCCCCATAACATGAACATTAAATGAAAGAAACCTGTATTATTCAAGGCACCATCAGTAGCCTATATTTTCTATTTTAGCAAAAGTGGGCTAAATTTACTTCAAAGAAAAAAATAATAGCAATTTTCTATCATCCACTCAACTGAAATATTTTTAAAATATAATTGGATTGAAATACAATAAAATAAAGTGCAAAA